TATTGAGAGTGAGCCTGAATTCCGCACATCCGGTGGAAGACCGTTCCACAGCTGAGGAGCTCTATAGGAGAAAGCTCTGCAGCCTGCCGTAGCTCAGGATGCTGGTTTATCTTAACAGATATTTATCACCTTATGGGGACATAACGTTATGTCCCCATAAGGATAGGTAAACCCGCTCGCACACACACACACACACCAGTTCATCAAGATGAATACGTTTGGACTGTAGGAAGAAACTGAAACACAGAAACTGGGTATCTGGTGGAGACTCATGGTTATAGTGAACCTACAAAAGCCACATGTACACAAGGTGTGCAGCTACAGGGCTACCAGCAGAGGGCCGTGCTGCTAATCCAAAATTATATTATTATTGAAGGTCTGTCTAGAGGTCAGATTGTTACTTCTAATTTGCAATAAATGATAGATCCATCTCTGTAACCACTTGTCCTATTCAGGGTTACAGGGGCTCTGGAACCTATCCCTGAATCTACAGGTACAAGGCAGGGAACAACCCAAGACAGGGTGCCAACCTATCACAGAACACACTCACACACCATTCACTCACACACCATTCACTCACACACGTACAGCAACAGGCAATTTGGTAACTGCAGTTAATTAATCATAGCATATTGCTGGACTGTGGCAGGAAACCTCAGTACTTGGAGGAAACCCCACGAGGGGAAACTCCACACATGGAGCCATAGCAGAGACTCAAACCCTGGTCTCAGAGGTGTGAGGCAACAGTGCTAACCACAATGGCAGATCCACTATGGCTTTTCTTTATGGATGAGAAGCTGGATCTATATACTGCCGAGCAGTGGACTCCCTGTCATGGTCTTTTACTTTAGCTGAGTGCTTGACTTCCTCGAGGTCTCTAGGTGGAGCAGAGCAGACATTAACAAACAGCCCAGAGGATGGAAGTGGATATCTTTCATCAGGGGCAAGGAGGAATAAAACAGTTTTTCTGGACCGTGGAGAGAAATACGAGACTCTTCCCCTGAGTATCAGATGCTGCTGTGAATTTTCACATGTGCTGAGCTTCACAGCTGATGATACTGTCTTCAGGACAGTCAGAGGAAGTCCCTTCCTAGGTTGCCAAAAATAGGTTCACCAAATTATACTTTCATTTCATTAACATACTCTCCAGAAAGACTTCTGCAAGACTTTGAAAAAAGACCCCTGTATTTTTCAAAGGCTTCCGGACAGGCATTGAAAAAGGACCATGTGACACAAATAGCATAACAGAACCGCATAACTGGAGCTGGTCAAACACCATTATTTTTACTGGCAGTTCTCAAGTCCCATGATGGCAATAGAGTCAGAAAATGAAGCGCGTTGCATATCCAAATGTAATACTTATCTGGATTTTTGCTAAAATATCTGTTTCCTTTGACCTACATGCAAAATTCATTGGATCCAATGTGTTCTTTTGGAAATTTTGTTTAAAAGCTGTTGCATGAAGTAAGCCAAGACAAATTTAGACTTTTAAAGAATATCTTCTACCTCGGGTGTGGATAAAAAGACAGTAATAATTATTTGGCAAAATGGGACTGAATATATTTCTTGGCTTGACGCAAGGTGAATGCTGTCACATGACATATGGTGACTGACTTCTTTGTATCTCCAGTACCTCCTAGCATTCGCGGGTCGGACGAAGTGTCCCACCTGACTGTGACTGAAGGCAGCCTGATGATTCTGGTGTGTGAGTCCAGCGGCATTCCTCCTCCCAGCCTCACCTGGAAGAAAGATGGTAAGAGATCACACTGTTGGTCCTTACGTAAGCAAGATTTCTACCTGTCCAGCAGAGAGCACTTGTGTGTACATGGATGAGTGCATCACAACTTAAAGTGGCAGCTACACAAAGCAAAAATACAAAAAAAGACAAATATCTAACATTGCAAGGTTTTCTGTCATTAATCCATAGTGTACCTGAAATAATGCTTGTCGCAGTCTTATAGGTTTCTTGTTTCAGCTGTCATTTAAATTTGTCTTTCCATTTTCTTTCAGTCATTTTGCTGAGCCACCTAAGCATAGTTCTTCCCCTGCCTGGGGGTGCTTTCTGTAAGGTCCTCCTCTCACTGACATCTCTGGATCTGCTCCTGTGTCCAGGTGCCGAGCTGCGGACTGACTCGCGAAGCCGGGTTCGCATACTGTCCGGGGGTCGGCAGCTGCAGATCTCCACTGCTGAGAGGACTGATTCTGCTTCCTACACTTGCACAGCTTCCAGCGTGGCTGGTAACACCACAAAGGAGTACAGCCTTCAAGTCTACGGTATCGTACCCGTTTACAATTAAATTATTCAACAAAAAAGAACACAAAGCTTCATGACAACTAGGAGGCTATAACAATTAATTAAGCCAATAATAAGATTTTATCATCTGGTATTGTATCATATAACTTTACGTTGGCAAAGCCAATTAGTTGTTGGTTCATCAGAAGAATTGTCATGAACTTATTTCGTCTTCTCACTTCAGTTCGCCCTTCCATCAGAAACAGCGGGAGGCAGCCCAGTGACGTGACAGTGACACGAGGAAACAGCATCACCCTCCAGTGCGAGGCCGACGGGGTCCCCCGCCCCGCACTGACGTGGCTGAAGGACGGACGCCCCCTGGTGAGCGGTAGGGGGGTCACCATCCTCAATGAAGGTCGGCTACTGCAGATCAAGGACTCCAAGGTGTCAGACACAGGACGCTATGTGTGTGTATCCGTCAATCTGGCAGGACAGGCGGACAGCAAGCACAACGTCAATGTGCACGGTCAGTGTCCTACACCCAACCAGTAATCTAGTGTTTCACCCTTCTAAGATGCATTTGAGATTCCTGTTTCACACCATTTTCATTATGCATTGATAATAAACCAGAATGTTTTCTGCATTTGCTACAAATCGTCAGAGAGTTGAATCACTGTTCACAGTATAAATTTTTACCACCTAACAATCTTTGTAATGACGTACCTTGGTCATGATCCTTGTTTTGATGGTCAGTGTATGTTCTTTCCTACCTGTAGTACCTCCCAGCATCAGTGGGCAGACTGAAGTACCTGAGAACGTGAGTGTGGTTGTGAAGAACCCCGTGGCTCTGTCATGTGAGGCCTCAGGGATCCCCCTCCCAGCCATAACCTGGCTGAAGGATGGACAACCTATCAGTGTGTCCGGCTCTGTCAGAGTCATCTCAGGTGAGAGCTCTCTCTCTGGGTTCTATGCATGAAATTAGCCTCAAAGCTTTTTTTGTCTAATTGATTTGGAACTTTCAGTTCCCATAGTAGTGTCGGAAAATAATTAATTTGCATCACAATATTAATTACTTTCAGGGTTATTTAAATGTCCAATCAAGATTATATGTCAGCTCACTAATGAGATAAATGAATTAAAGCATTTGCCCAGGCAGATAATTCTCCTGAAATGATCGCTTCTCTAAAATGGTTCCTCAATCACAGGAAGCAGAAACTAATTCCACTGTAAATTTGTCAGGGCTATAACAGATTCAATTTTTGTTTGTACAATAACAATTTCTTGATATAATTGATAATCATTTCACTTTGAAAGACCCCATATCTAAGGAGCTTATTTTATTGTTCTGGGTTATTTTTAAAAGTCCACACAGGTGATTGGATAATTAATGATAATTGCCACTTTCAAAATATTGTGGAAGGGGAGATATTGAGGTCTGATCTCTGTTGCAGAAGATCTGAATAGCTGTTAGCTTGCAATGTCCTGTTTCTGCTGAATTACTAGAATAATTCATGTAGGTTGCATTGAATTCCGTACAAGACTAGATTTTTCAGGATTTATAAGAGCTTTTCATGTTATATTGTTCCCCAGGTGGACGGACCTTGAGGTTGATACATGCTGCTGTGGAAGATGCTGGGAGATACACTTGTGTCGTATCCAACACTGCTGGGGAAGAACGGAAGAACTTTGACCTTGAGATTCTTGGTAAATGACTGGAGAGACTTCCACGAGCTGGAAGACCACTATACCCTTTTTATTCTTTCAGTTGTAGACCACAGAGTGTGTTAGGGTTAGTATACCCAATAGTGTTTCTCTCTTCCATTACAGTACCGCCAAGCATTACAGATGACGGGTCCATCAGTGACATCAAAGTGAAAGAAAATCAAAATGTGACACTGACATGTGAGGTCACAGGTATGGAATTTATCATTAAAGCTCACAGTGGAAGTCTATGCATTTACTTTCAATTTCGCTTCTGCAGTATTTAAATTAATAAATAAATCTATCTATCTATCTATCTATCTATCTATCTATCTATCTGTCTATCTATCTATCTATCTATCTATTCAGGGTAGGGTCATGTTGTAATGTATGTATAGATAACAATGCCTCATGAGGTGTTTCTATCATTCCATATTCTGCTGTGTTCTCTAATTCGGTATGAACTCTGACATGTCTTGCCCTGTTTTTAGGTAACCCCATGCCAGAGATAAACTGGCTGAAGAATAGGGAGCCACTGGTGGAGGACCAGCAGCACCAGGTGCTGTCCAGTGGGCGTTACTTGCAGATCTCCAATGTCCAGGTGGCCAACACGGGCATGTACAGCTGCCTGGCCTCCAACACAGCTGGAGACCGGAGCAAGCACTTCAATCTCAACGTTCTGGGTAGGGGGAAATTTGGCAGGACTTTCGAAAGTGGATCAGGAGTTGGACTATGACTCCCAGAGAGGGTCCAGCTTTTGTACCATACAACGCATGCTGTTTGAGTAACACGGGGTCTAAGCTTCACGTAAAGTAACAATTAATTAATCGACAAAACGAGAATATGTAGACAATTTAGTGGTTTACAATTTGTGAGATTTTATTTTGCAATCTATGTGGAATTATACTTGTGCATTTTTAATGGTGATAAGTCTTTGTCAGTGAGCCGTAATGTTTTTATGCAGACACTTGATGGCAGAATGTTTGCTGTTAGGGTAGCATTTTTTATTAGGTGAAATTTGTGTTGGGTTGCAGCACATTTCTGGGTGGATGAAACCTGGATAAAAGCAGATTGTAATATGTTTCTTTGAGGTAATGATGCAGGGTTGTGCTGTGCGTACAGCGTGTGTGTGGTGTGTGTGTGTTTACACACAGAAGCTCATGCCATGCTGTGTACAGTGTCCCCCACAATCCCAGGGGCCGGTCCAGATGGGTCTGCTGAGGAAGTAACTGTAACCCTCAACAGTCCCACCTCCCTGGTGTGTGAGGCACAGAGTTACCCACCTGCAATCATCACCTGGTTAAAGGACGGCACCCCCTTCGAGTCAAACCGCAATGTGCGGGTCCTGCCAGGTCAGAGGTCACCTGTAATAACAGTATAATGCATCGATGTCCCGGCTGAGTTGTGGCTAGTGTCCATGTTGAGTCCCGGGTGAGGTAGGGGCTAAAATTCTCTATGGAGAATGTGGGTAGTTAAAGTCCTGTAGTTCTGCTTTTATTGTGTTATTTATTTGTTTGTTTTTTTGTGCTTGTTTTAATTTCTTGTGTGCTTTTTAAAATTTCTTTTGTTTTTCTTCTTTTAAAATGTCTGTAACATCCTTTGTAACCCTAACCCTGCGGTCAAAGCAGTGCTTTAATAGGCATTTCTCATGACTTGTACCCAGGTGGACGGACTCTGCAGATCCTCAATGCCAAGGAGGAGGATGCTGGTCGGTATACCTGCGTGGCCACCAATGAAGCCGGAGAAACCCTGAAGAACTATGAGGTCAAGGTGTACCGTGAGTGCCATGCTGCATAGCTCATCTCTGTCATCCTGTGGCTACAGCTGGCATCTGTTTAGCGTGAAGTGGCTTCCTGTGCGTCCCATGCAGTTCCCCCGGTCATCAGCAAAAACCATGACACAGAGGGCTTCTCCCAGAAGGAGGTGAAGATCAAGGTCAACAACACCTTGACCCTGGAGTGTGAGGCCCAAGCCGTTCCCATCCCCAAACTCACATGGTATAAGGACGGACAGGTGGGTACATATCCACACACACATACGATAGGTTGATGTTTATGCTCAAACACACGGACACATTTCACGTGAACAAACACGTGCACACAACAAAATACACATACACACACCACCCAAAGAGCGGTCAAATTGTCCATTGAATGTGATCAGTTTACCCTTTTTATTCATCCTATCAGCTCCTTATAGCAGACCATCATGTGACCATTTCTACCAATGGGCGTGTAGTCCAGATAAAACACGCCCAGGTGTCTGACACGGGACGGTACACCTGCGTGGCCACCAATATCGCTGGGGAGGACGAGAAGGACTTTGATGTAAATATACAAGGTGAAATGTGTTCCTGTTATAGTGACACTCTGACCAGGTCTCATTCAATTCAGCTTCTCCTAGTGGTGATTTCATAAACTGATATGAATAAAACTGCTTTCCTGTATAGTCCAGTATTTTCGCCTTATCTGGGAATTCCTAATGTTTCCGGACATAAGCAAAAGTAAATTTTTTAAATAGTGTTATTTTTTTTTGTTTTGTTTCTTGCAGTTCCTCCGAGTTTCCAGAGACCTGGCGGAGCAGGAAACAAGTCCTCACCAATCACTGAGACCCGAGACGTGGTTCAGAACAACGCCATCTTATTGTACTGCGAGACCAATGCAGTTCCCCCACCGATGCTGACGTGGTACAAGGACGGCAGGGCACTGGCCTCAAGCGACAGAGTGCTGATCCTGCCGGGTAAAGGACAATATAGGGTGATGAGATGGCATGAGATGACATGAAATAAAGTACAAACACAGTCCACATAGTGTAAACAGTGAACTCAGTATACAAACAGAATGTTGATCAAACAGAATACTGTGTAAGGAATAAACAAACAAATGAATAAATAAATTGATGGATGAGAATGAGAATGTAAATAAATGGATGAGTGGTGTTTATAATAAAAGTCCAGTGCTGTCTGTAATCCTGGTGCTGGTAGAAGCAGTGCAGGCAGTGATATCTGTGCAGTTTTTATGTTTTGACATTATTAAACATTATTGAGCTTCAATATGGGACTAGTACGTGGTTCTGAAAGACCTGGAGGAGAGAGATCACAGAGAATTTCAGTCGCCTGTCTTACACTTATTTCTGCTGCAGGGGGACGTGTTTTACAGATCCCCCGGGCTCAAGCAGAGGATTCTGGGAGGTACTCGTGCGTGGCGATCAACGAAGCTGGAGAGGACTCCATCCAATACGATGTCAGGGTGCTGCGTGAGTAACAGCCTGTCCGGATGGCAGCACAGTTGGGTTCTTGGGGGGTGTTAATTGTAGAAACGACTGGGCCGCCCAGGGTCATGTGACACGGCTGGCCTGTGGGAGTGAGTACCTGGACAGATAACTGCTTGGAATAATAATTATGCAGACCGCTGGGCTGTCACACTTTGAAACAGGAAAGGACTTTATAATTAAGAGGCATCCTGTAAAAAAACACTGATCTGCTCACAGAAGACTGTTAAATCACTACAATTCTCCTTCCTGGAGTTTTTAAAGAATGTTTTATTACATATTTTTTCCATTTCCTCTCTGAGAAAAACAGAGAGTTGTCTTTGTATAGCTTGGGCAAAGGCTATTTGCAAAATCAGAATTAAATTAAATTAAATATAGGGGGTACCTGCAGTGAAATAGGTGCTTGTTATGGAGTGAGTAGTGAAATTTTGTGCTGTATCTCAGTTCCTCCTTCGATCAGAGGTGCCGATATGGACCTCCCTGAAGAGATAACCCTGCTGGTTAACAAAACGGCGGCGCTGGAGTGTCATGTGGATGGCCACCCCGCCCCAAAGATCACATGGCTCAAGGACAGCCAACCGCTGATCGCCAATGGCAACCACCAGCTGCTGTCCAATGGGAGGACTCTGCAGGTGAACAGACCCCTCTTTCAAAGTCAAAGTCAACTTGGTCATTGTGTGCATGCACAATGAAATGATGTAGTAGACTGTCATAGTGCAAGAATCTCACAGAGTAATAATGTTAAACAGAACAGTACAATAGATGACATAACGTTAAAGAAACAGTCCGACAATTATATTGTCCTTCCCACCTCTTGCTTGCTTTTCACATATGATCAATACAATCCCAATACGTTATTTCCTGTGCTTCTCACTACATAATGCTACCAGATGAGACTCAGGGTTTGTACTGTCTCTGAGCTGTATTCTCTGTAGTGCTCAGGTTGCTGCAGAGGTAGTGATCCGAAAAAGTGTAGGGTTGCGATTTCAGTGCCCTTTGTGCCCTTGGTGACCACATGGTCCTCAGAGCAATGTTTAAAGCCGTCCAATGGAAACCTGACGCCAACGCTAACACCTGCCCACCCTTAGGTGTTGAACGCCCGCATTACAGACACGGGCCGGTACACCTGCGTGGCCGAGAACGTGGCCGGCAGTGCGGAGAAGTCATTCAACCTTAACGTTCATGGTGAGTATAGTACAAATCCTTGGTAAGCCTCTTTGGTTGGTGTTGTTTTGTGTGCATGATCAACTGGCAACTGACCCCTGCCACCCAACCTCATCTCCAGTGCCCCCTTCCGTCATCGGAGTGGACTTTGAAAACTTGACGGTGGTGGTGAACAACTTCATCTCGTTGACCTGCGAGGTCACCGGATTCCCACCGCCCACCCTCAGCTGGCTGAAGGACAGGGAGCCAGTCCAGGGAAACACCAATGCCCTCATTATGCCAGGTGACAATGACTCGCACTTCATTGGCATTGAGGAACAGACCCCGTGGCTGATAAATGAAATTGCAGTTCCTTTAATGTTTACCTACCAGCTGGGAATGTGAACCTCATCAGTTTCTTTGAGGTTTGTTCCAGTCCCGTTACCATTCCTCAGAAATCCTAATGCTGTCTCCCACTGCGTCCAGGGCATGAATGCATTCCAGAATTTTAGCCAAAACGTTATGTGCCTTATTTATAACATTTTATTTTAATAAATTACCCAGCTGTTTACATGGATACAATCCTAAACTCCTACTTCAAAGTAACTGCAGATGGACGGGTTTCTTAAAATGCTAAATAATGATGCCTTCATTCATCCACACATCCACCGTCCAGAATGGCTTATCTGTGTTCATGGTAAGCCTGGAACCTGTTCCAGCAAGCGCAGGTCAAGGCCCAGGGGGCACCTTAGACAGGATGGCAGTTTATTGCAGGGAATAAACACATAGAATGAGCAGATTAGATTCTTAAATAATGGTCCAATGATGGAATCCCATTCAAGGTGTATGTATACCTTATGCCCTAAGCTATTTTAGATATGATTTAGAAAAGATATGTCATTCTGCAATAGACAGGGTAATGAGAATGAAAATTTACTATCTGAGATACATTCCAAGTCCCTCCACAAGATCTGCATTTTGAAGATTGATTGATGGATGGATGGATGAATGGATGGATGGATGGATGGATAATGACTTAACATAGTTTCTAATTCTAGGGGGGCGCATCCTGCAGCTCTTGCGAGCAAAGATATCTGATGGTGGGAAGTATCGTTGTGTGGCCATGAATCCTGCAGGAGAGGCCCAGAAGCTCATCTCCCTCATGGTCTTTGGTCAGTATCTGCTCCCCCCTGACTAGCCGCTGTGTCCCATCTGGAAAAAGACATAATTGTGTCATCAGGATTAAATCTGGATAAGCTCACAGTTGTTTGCTTAAGCTCTTCCCCTGGTGTGGTGAGATAGTGATCATTTCTCAAAAATGGTTCAGCAGCATTGGTGGAATTCTGGTCATTCCAAATAGGCATGTGAGGAAAGGGGGTCTTGTAGACGAATCCCATAACATTTCCGACAATTTAAGTGGTTTGTGGGCTCCGTTGCCTAGAGACATTGAAAACGTGCCATAGTTCTATGAATGGAATGGACCTTAAAAAAAACAAAACAAGAGTCCAACCCCTGAAAAAGTAGATGATTTACATCTCAGACTCAACATGGATTTTCTCCAAGGAGATTCTTCCAGCAGCTTGACCAGCGTCTTCCTTTCTTGTTCAGAGAGCTGCTCCTGTTGTTTCCAAGTTGCGAGAGTCATTCCTGCATTATCTGGGGCTGTCATCAGGCTTTTTCTGTGGGCTTGTCAGGAGAACATTTCCCTGGTTTACTCTCCCCAGTGCCCCCCAGCATCAGGGACAGCAGCGGCGAGCAGCCGGTACAGGTGAGCGTGAGGGTGGGGAACTCGGTGACTCTGGAGTGTGAGTCCAATGCTGTGCCACCGCCCACCATCACATGGTACAAGAACGGGAGGATGGTTACAGAGTCAGGGAACCTCCAGATCCTAGCAGGTGGACAGATGCTGGAGATCAAGGGTGCTGAGGTACATGGTGACACGCGATCCTTCTGCTTCTTTGTTCATTTTACACTGTGGTAATCATTGTGCATGAAAGAGTAGGTATTACGATGCACTTCTTGAACATGGCCAACAAAGCATCTAGAATCTTCAGTGTTGACCCTGCTCATTGACGCTCATTGACTGGCGGACCTTCTGCCCTGTAGGTATCTGACACGGGCCAATACGTCTGCAAGGCTGTTAATGTCGCAGGGCAGGTGGACAAGAACTTTCATTTGAACATTTATGGTAAGAGGTCCTCAGCAGACATCGTCTTTTGTACAAATACAATGTAATATTTGCTTACCTCCCTGTAGACCAAAGCAACGTACAACACTGAAGAATAAAAATTAGCAATAACAGAACAGTGAACAGTGACATACATACAATTAATTTTTAATTCAAGCGTTTTAACAAAAATATATTAGCTGTTTAGATGTCACAGCCGTTAGTATACTTAATTTGTAAGGACTCATTGGCAATTGACCTACAAGCTGTTTCATAGCCAGGTGTGAGCTCTTTTGTCGTAATTTTATTAACAATTAAACAGGTAAACGGTACGGACTGCTGCTGTGAACGCTCAATTTGAGAGCCATAGAGTTGTCAGTGCATGTGAAGCAGACCATCATTATGCTGAGAAAACAGAACAAACCCATCAGAGAGATAGCAGAAACATTAAGTCAATAGTCAAAAAAGAAGGAATATGCTTTGCTGAAGTCTGCAATCAAAAGACTACTTCATGAAAGTAAATACAGAGGGTTTACCATAAGGTGCTAACAACTGGTAAGCCTCAAGAAGGCCCGATTGAAGAACTTGCCTATTGTAATGTGGTTTGCACCATACCTTGTAAAAGCATTTCTATTGTGCAGTCCCACCCAGCATTGACCACCCTGAGGATGAGCGAGTGGTGGAGACCATTAGCAACCCCGTCACTTTTGTCTGTGATGCCTCTGGCATCCCCCCGCCCAGCCTCACCTGGTTGAAGAACGGCCGCCCCATAGGTGAGTGTTCTCAACCTGACCGAGATGCCCTCAGTGAGTTAACTCCGCCAACACATTGATTTAATATATTGATGCATCGAATGACTCCGCAGAGAACACAGAATCCCTGGAGTTGCACATTCTCTCGGGGGGGGGGAAACTCCAGATTGCTCGCTCGCAGCTGTCAGACAGTGCTAACTACACGTGCGTGGCATCCAACGTGGAAGGCAAAGCCCAGAAGAACTACCATCTCACCATCCAAGGTGGGGAAAGAGCTGAAAAAACTACAGGAAAGACATTAATGAGCGTGGTGGTAGATGTTGATGTTGATGTCACCTGCCGTATCTTTTTCTAGTTCCTCCCAGCATCGCAGGCTCAGAGCTGCCCAGTGAGGTCAGCGTGCTGCTGAATGAGAGCATCCAGCTGATCTGCCGTGCACAGGGGGCCCCGGTCCCCACCATTAAGTGGCTGAAGGACGGCAAGCCGTTAAGCACCGCAGGGATCCAGAGCATCAGGTGGGCCCCTGGGCCAGGAGATTGCAAAAACATGACAACTATGTTTGGAGAGGTTCTGATCCAAATTTCTCTGCAGGATCAGCCCAGATGGCAGTACCTTGCGCATCATCAGAGCACTCCCTGGGGATAGCGGGAAGTACACCTGTGTTGCAACCAACGCCGCCGGAGAGGAGGACAGGATATTCAGTCTCAACGTGTTTGGTGAGTAAAGATGTTAAGTTTCCTTCAGCCTGTCCTTGTGGACATCCGAGTTCTGTTCGATAGATGATCTGAATACCACAGCTTAGACAAACGTAACTCATTTGGATGATATATTAAAGTCTTTCATTTGCAGAGGAAAATAATTTTGTATTGCTACTTATAACACAGCTGAATAACCAGAGTATTTTGAAGAGAAGTATTTTTGGGAGGACTATGGTAGAGGTAATGTAGATTTCACTTTCAAAACTTTGCAACTTTTGGTTATTAATTAGCGTTTATTCCCTTTGTAACTCATTGTGAGCCATTATGTAATTATGTTTGCAATTTAAGTATTTGACCATTAAATTAGAGGCAGAAGTAGACCTGAAATATATTAAGTAAGGAGACCTACTATTGAGTTGCTGAGTCAGCAGAATCCTGCAGTCCTGTAGGCTGGGTTCTGCTCACACCCTGGCATTAAAAATTGGTAACTGTACAGGATTATGTTTTGCTGTCTGAGGGGATTGTTGTCGAGGGTGACCCAGAGACGTGAATAGCTGATTGGCTGAAGGCTGTGCCTCCTGAATGGTGTCTCCACAGTGCCGCCTGTGATCCAGGGGAACAGCGACAAAGCCCAGCTGCTGACCACAGTCCTGGACAACTCCATCAGCATCGAGTGTGTGGCCACCGGCTCCCCTCCCCCCCAGCTGAACTGGCTGAAAAATGGCCTCCCCCTTCCTGTCTCCTCCCAGATCCGCCTGCTGTCTGCTGGACAGATACTCCGGTTAGTTGTGATAACTGGTCACATGATGTATATTCTACATATGGTCCATGTGATCTGTATATCTCCTATAGAGATAATATTCATATGTGGCTTCCTAACTTTTTATAATTTTTTTTGGAGCAATTCAGTTTTCTCAAGGCGCTTTACCTGAGTGTGTTGTAGTACGTTACTAATCCCCCCCGGACTTGCTAACATTAAAGAAAAAGAAAGAGCGAACTTGCTTGCTAAAAGCAAAGTGTAAACTGTGGTCAAGGTCAAAGCCATTTGACTCCAAAGTGAGTTTTACATGCTTACTATTCCCATCAGTGATTCTAGGTGCCAGCCTGTGTCAGTTGGCAGATTGAGAGCTGCACTCACAAGGTTACATATCATTGATTTTGGCATCTTTCATTCCCTATTAAAAAAAACCTTTGCGTGTTGAATTGTTTGAGGAACCCTTATTCAAATGAGACTGAAGAACACAGAAATTGCAATGGACTGACACGAGTGGTCTACTCATGGTTAGGATTTCCAGAAGCCAGGTGTCTGACGGAGGCACCTACACCTGTGTGGCCTCCAACCGAGCAGGCGTGGACAGCCGGCATTACGGCCTGGAGGTGTACGGTGAGCCCCACCCTCACTGATAATAATGTGACGATGTTTGACAAGTCATCTTTTGACACTACTTTTATTGACAATAATATCTTTTGTTTTATACGTCCGCAACTAGTGCTGTAAAAACACAAATCAGTTCTAGTTAATTTATGGTTCCTTGAAAACCTGCACATGTTTCCACTTGCAAATTCATTTGTTGCAAAGAGATTTCTGTGAGTTATTGCACACTCTTACATTAACCAGTTTGCTTATTAAGTCACCATGAGGGTTTATCTGTGTTTGCCAGATGCAAAATTTTATATTTTCAGCAGAACTTATTTTCTTTAGTCTTGAAAGCCATCTTCAGACCCAGAGCAAGTGTCTACTGTATGTATTACTGTATGTATTAGCGTTTAACAATGTTAACGTCTGTCGGTCTTGCTAACCTATTGGCTTGCTTTTCCCTGGCCGTCAGTCCCGCCCAACCTGGACAACGCAGGTGGCAGTGAGGATGTGACTGTGGTCAGCGGCCATCAGGTGGTGCTTCTCTGCATCGCGGATGGCACGCCCACCCCCTCCCTCTCCTGGCTGAAGGATGGCACCCACCTGCACCCAGGCCCCCACGTGGCCCTCCTCAACCTGGGCACGACCATGCAGATCCAGCAGGCCGACCTGGGTGACACAGGCCGCTACACCTGCGTAGCCACCAATGAGGCTGGCGAGGCCCGGAAATACTTCAACCTCAAAGTCCTAGGTACGAGATCACCCTGACACGCCAGAGACAGCTGATAGGTGAACGACCTGAGCTTCAGATTCCAGAACCTGCGTAGGTCATAGGTCAGCCAAATCCCTGACCTATTTGAAGTAGAGTATTTTGGTGAATCACGCCACACGTCCTGAAGTGAAACCACCTGAAACCAGCGTAACTGCCGATTAAAGCTGACAGTCGGCACTCTTTTATTTTTGATAATATGGCCTTTATTGTACAGAATCATGAGTTTGTAGATAGAAGGGCTCTTTTGGAACATGAATGAGACATTCACAGAGGATTTAAGAAGTTTTGAATCACCATACTAAAGCACACACTCAAAAATAACACACTTATTCACCTCACAAATTCCACATTAGCTGCCCGCAAAGCATCTATCTACTCTGGCTTAAGTGTCACTGTACATAAATGGTGTATTAGTGAAGTAATTCCTTGCTCGGAAATGAAATGGGATAAATAAGGCACGTAGCATTTTGGCAAAAATTCTGGAAGACGCTCAAGCCGTGGGAGAAACAGGAGACAGCATTAAGACTTCCGAGCAGTGATAATTGGGCAGGAACAAGCTTCAAAGAAAAACTAATTTAGAACTGATGGGGTTTGTATAAATCATGGTGTGTGGTTCTGTGGGTTAGGCCTCAGCTCAAAGGCGTCAGTTCAAATCCCATGCTTGGCGGAGTGATGTCACTGTTGGGCCCTGAGCAATGCCCTGAATCCCTGTTGCTCTCGGGATTGGCTAACTCTGCTTTCCCAGTTGTACATCGCTTTGGATAAAAAAAACATCATAATTACGTAAAAGAAATATTATGTCTGAGCTAAGCCTGGTATATAATGGCGAAATTTAGCGTGGGCCACCCCGTTCACGGTGAATTGCATAGCCTATATCTCAAAATACCGAAATATCGGCGCTTTTGAAAATTCCATAAAAATACTGTATATCACAGTATGATATATGGACGACATGAAAAACTGGATACTGCTCAAGTCTGGTCTGAACATAATTTTTTTTTCACCCAGAACCCCCAAGGATCAATGGTTCAGGGGTTCCCGTCGAGGTGTCTGTGGTGGTGAACAACGCATTGGAGCTACATTGCATGGCCACAGGCAGCCCCGTTCCCTCCCTCACCTGGATGAAGGATGGTCGACCCCTGCTTGAGACCGATGGTGTCCGTGTCCTGAGAGGGGGGGAGGTGCTGAGGGTGGCCTCAGTCCAGGTACGCCCTGCTGTCACGTAGCGGGATGCTCCAGAACAATGCCCGGATGCCTTCCAATACAAGCACAGGTGTTCCTTTCTCCCACAGGTGGAGGATACAGGACGGTACAGCTGTTTGGCCACCAGTCCTGCTGGCGATGACGACAAAGAGTTCCTGGTGCGAGTCCATGGTGTGTCCGAAATTTAATTTCCATTGTCCCGTTCCGGTAGTATTCCGGTTTTGCTGGTGAAGCCAGGTCTTGCGATGATGCTGGTATTGAACTGTCCTGTGTTGGTGTTCTAGTTCCTCCAAACATTGTGGGGGAGAGAAGCCCCCAGGAGGTGTCTGTGCTACAGAACCGACAGGTGACCCTGGAGTGCAAGTCAGATGCGGTGCCACCCCCAACGCTAACCTGGCTAAAAAGTGGGAAGTCTCTACTGGTGAGCCCCCCTGTGAGACAAACGTCAAAGAGTAGACGTCGAAAAAACGTTGCTGTTGAGAAATCAATCATGGTTGGTGAACATGCTCATTTTTAATTTATTGAGAGCGACAATGAGAAATAGCAAGTATGTTTTTTCATTCGGTAGATCAGTATGTTTTTGTGTCTTTATGTCACCACCAAGAGGATGGTTTATGGCTGTGTGGGTTAAGACTCTGTACTTTTGATCAGAATATTGCATGTTCAAATTCTGTGGCTGACAGACTGATTTCAGCATTTGGTCCTTGAGCCAAGGATCCTAGTTGCTCTAGGGAATGACTGACTCTGCTTCCTTAATTTTTTTGTTATGTTGGATGAAAGCTTCTGCTAAATATATAAGCCATCTTTGAAACCATTTAGTCCCCTGAAGTAGTTTGGTCTCCTTAGGCCTCTCCACGTGTTCGGATCCTGTCCAATGGCCGCTACCTCCAGATCAACAACGCGGAGCTAAGCGATGGGGCGCAGTACACTTGCGTCGCCAGCAACATCGCGGGGAACACAACACGGGAGTTCAACTTGGTGGTGAACGGTAATGCACCTAGAATAAAACTGTATATTTAGTGTGGTCCGATATTATACCTGGTATATATTTCCATATGTTGCTCATTGATTTGATGTTTCTGTGAATGTGTTTGGCTCCAAGTCCCCCCCACCATCCAGGAGGGCGCTCTAACCATGTCTGTCAAGGTTGGCCAGCCTGCGGTGCTGGAGTGTAATGCCAGCGGAGTACCAACCCCACGCATTACATGGAGGAAGCATGGTGCTGTCTTGGCGGGACATAATCCCAGGTAATCTCACAACAACCTGTTGGGTTGTCAACACCTGCATGTCTCGTCTATTCTGTCTCTGTGGTTACTCAATGGGTAGCCCTACATCGCTAGGGAATGTGGAGTTTCTCCAGGAATGAAAGGCATGTGGTTTAGGTGAATAGGTGACTCTAATTTGGTCATAGTGTATGAGCGTGTGTCCTGACATAGACTGGCCTTCCATCTAAGGTGTTCCCAACCTTGTGTCATGTGCTTCCTGAGATAGTCCTCTAGATTCACTCTATGCTCTAGGTAACCATAGCTTTATAAAAGCAGTTATGAGTTCCTCTACACAATCGTTCTGTTTCTTGGATCTTGCTGTACCCAGTGAATGTTTTCAAATGAAGCCCATACTCAAGATTCCATTGTCGAGATGATGACCTTTCAGTTTTGGTCTACGCAGGTACATGCTTGCGGATAATGGGTCACTTCACATCCACTCGGCTCAGGTGACAGACACAGGGCGGTACTTGTGCATGGCCACAAACCAGGCAGGAACACAGCGCAAAAGGGTTGACCTGCAGGTTTATGGTGAGTCAAGGGGTTTCCCCTCCAAGATAACACTTAATGTTATCAACCACCCAGAGCTAGTCACTGGCACTGAGTGACTGCTATTTTGTGATGTACGATTGACCACAGTACCTCCGAGCATTGCCCAAGGTCCCACTAACATCACGGTGACCGTCAACGTCCAGACCACGCTGTCCTGCGAGGCCACGGGAATCCCTAAACCCACCGTCACTTGGAAGAAGAATGGCCGGCTACTCAACACTGACCAGAACCAGAATATGTACAGGTTGATCATTTTTATTTTAAGTACCTACATATAGAGTCCTGGCATTAAACGAAGATTCGCACCTTCATCAGACTGACCTGTCTGTGTTTTGGTCCCCAGGATACTGTCATCAGGATCTCTTGTTGTCATAGCACCCACTGTAGAGGACACTGCTGTCTATGAGTGTGTTGTGTCCAATGATGCTGGGTTGGATGAGAGGGTTATCAGTCTAACCGTGCAAGGTAAGGAACTAGTGATCTTTTGAATTCGATATGCCCCTATGGTAATTCAGAAGTGTATCAGATCATTATTAGGCTTTGTGTTCTGTGTGGATTCCTTGCTTACTCCTACTGTGTGTTGGTAACAGTACCTCCCTCTATCGCTGATGAGGCCACTGAGCTGGTGGTGACTCGGCTGTCCCCAGTGGTCATCAGCTGCACTGCGTTGGGAGTCCCAGAACCCATACTGTTCTGGAGCAAGGATGGGATCAGGCTCCCAAAACAGGGTGCAGACTTCAGGATCCTCCCCACAGGTGAAGCGCAGTCTTGCACTTTCATATCTCTCATTAGTGACAATGGTTCTGTTGAGATGATGGTGACCAACTGATATACTTCCTCTCTAGGCCCAGTAGAGATCGCTGCCACTGAGCTGGGTCACACTGGCCGATATTCCTGCACAGCCAAAAACGCAGCAGGGACCGCTCACAGACATGTGCAGCTCACTGTTTTGGGTGGGTGCTTGTTCTATTTACACTGGTCTCTCTGCAGTATGAAAAGTACGCTGTCCTTAAGAAGCCCAGTTCCACTTCTAACAGTCTCTTTCTTACATCCAGATCCTCCAGTGATACAGGCTCACCCTTCTACCCTGGATGTCATTCTCAACAATCCCATCACCCTCCCATGCAGAGCAGTGGGGTCCCCCAGACCCTCCATCACCTGGCAGAAAGAAGGCATCAGCATCCTCACCACAGGTCAGGATAAGATGACTTAGCTCTAGGGAAGAGCACTGTGGACTTGGGGACATTCAGGCTACAAGAGAAAGAGCTTGTCTTAAGCAAAGGCTGTATTTTCCAGGTGGTGGTGTCACCATACTGCCCAATGGTGACCTGCAGATTACACGGGCAAAAGTGGATGATTCCGGAACATACATGTGCGTAGCTCAAAACCCTGCCGGTACTGCACTAGGCAAGACCAAACTGAAAGTGCAAGGTACGTTTCATGAGGTTATATTCTGCAGTGTAGTGTACAAGTGTATGTATTGTCCATATGGTTTGAGCTGTTAGAATCCCTGTTTGATCAGTTGGTCTCTCTTGTTTCCCTCTTCAGTCCCTCCCGTTATTTCCTCTCAGATAAAGAGTTACGTCGTGGCCTTGGATGCCTCCATCACACTTCTATGCCAGGCAGAGGGACACCCATCACCGGAAGTCACCTGGCACAAAGATGGACAACTGGTGACAGAGTCTGTGCGCCAACGGGTCCTCAGTTCTGGGTCACTGCAGATTGCTTTTGCCCAGCCGAGTGATACGGGGCGGTACACCTGCACCGCCATCAATGTTGCTGGGTCCAGCAGTCTGGAGTTGAGCCTCACTGTCCACCGTGAGTCATTGCCTCAGGAATCTTTGGTTGTCCTGGACATTAGGTTTAGTCCTTAGGATGTTCTTTCTGAGTTATCAGACTGTTTGTCAGTCTTCACTCCTCCCATTAGTATTTGTTGTGTTAAGCTCCAAGTTCCTCGGAGTGACTTCCTGAATCCACCCCCCGCCAGTCCCTCCCTCCATCCGTAGCAGTGAGTCAGAGGTCTCCGTGGTTGAGAACACGCCGGCCAAGCTGACTTGCCTCGCAGACGGAGTACCCCAGCCTCAAGTCTCTTGGGAGAAAGAAGGCAAGCCCTTCACTGACAACATTGGGCTGTACACCATTCTGCCTACAGGAGAGCTTCTTATTCACATCACCCAGGTGAGTCATGCAATGGCCCCTGTGTTTCTCAGGTGGAATAATGATTTGAGAAAACCAAAGCAGATTTAATTACAATTTTCTTCATCTGCCTGACTCTTTCTAGCCCGAGGATTCTGGGAGTTACACCTGCACAGCTATCAACCGCTTGGGTCAGGACAGCAGGACAGTAACCCTTTCTGTCCACACCCACCCAGCCTTCACAGAATTGCTGGGAGATATATCGCTGAATAAGGGAGAGCGCCTCCTGCTGAGCTGTGGAGTTACCGGACTTCCCCTTCCCAAGATTACATGGGCATTCAACAACAACATAATTCCTGGTATTTACAACTGTTTATGCCATGAAGAAAACTCCTACATGCCAGCCTCAGCCACAGTAACCTGTAGCCGCTTGCTCTTTCCTAGCTCAGTACGACCATGTGAATGGGCACAGTGAGCTGGTCATTGAACGGGTGAGCAAAGACGACGCAGGCACCTACTCCTGCACTGCTGAGAACAGTGTGGGCTCAGTAAAGTCTCTTGGCTTTGTCTCTGTCAAAGGTAAGATGGGACCTTCCCTGTGGTGAAGCTGGTCTTCGTGATTGATGAGCAAGCTTGTGTTGAAATGATTCTCGTGTTTGTGTCCAGAGCCGCCGATCTTCGATGGAGATTTTCACTCCAACCGGATCGAGCCTCTGGGGGGCAACGCCATCCTGAACTGTGAGGTGAGGGGAGATCCACTGCCAACCATTCAATGGAGCAAACAGGGCATCAACATCCAGATCAGCAACCGCATCCGGCAGCTGGACAACGGCTCTCTGGCCATCTATGGCACTGTGGTAAGGCGTTGTCCCATAATGCACCTGTCTGGAGAAACTCCATATCTCCATATCTCTGCTTGTCTGATATATAACATAATTAAATAACAGTTGGTTCTTTTAAGAAGTAATAAGCAGAGCAACTTCAGTTTTTTTTATTCTGGTGTGTGTATTTCAGCAGATTTTTAAAAATTCCCAGCTAGCAGTTAAGATATTTATTACCTTTTCAAGTTACCAATGTTTAATGTGAAACAAAATTTGGAACCTGGGTAGAGCAGGGGAGTGCTCGTTAATATTTTGGAGGTGTTTGGTAAGGTATATATGAAATTAATTTAAATTCTTACAGTTTATCAGATGCATAAGTTCTGCTCTTTGAAGACATTCAAGGCCTGTTCTCTCTTGTAGTACAGTTGTCCTTGTATCATGTGAAACTCTGGAGATAAAGTGAAATGGTTACGTTTGCATTGTCAGAATGAAGACGCAGGAATCTATCTGTGTGTCGCTACCAATGACGCTGGAGTGGTGGAGCGTAGTGTCACGCTGACCCTGCAGAGTGAGTCTCTCTGTGAACAATGGATCTTTAGATGTAACCATTAGATAAAGACCTGGTGCAGCTGCTTATGCATTAAGTTAATTCAAAGCAACTTAGTGTTTAGTTGTGATTGTACCTTCATACTAAAGAGGAGTACAGCAGTGTACCTTGTTATGAACCACACACACTATATATAACCTGGAGAAAACCTACACACCTCCATTTTGGTTCACTCCTTTGCACACTAGGGGGCGGTGTGGGCTCAGGGGGTTGAGCCAGTGTGCTGTGGTTGGAAGGTCGCTGGTTTGAGACCAGCCTTGGCAGAATAGTCACATGTCCGTGGCCCCTTGAAGGCCCTTAACCCCTGAAAAGAGAATTTCCCTGCAGGGATCAATAAAATATTTTTATTACTGTACCGGTTTTGGGGAATAGATGTGATGAGATGGGAACAGTTTACAAATATTTTAACCCCCTCCCCCCTTCCCCAGGTCCCCCAACAATCACAGTGGAGCCAGTTGAGACAGTGGTGGATGCTGGCACCACAGTGCTGCTCAACTGCCAAGCAGAAGGGGAGCCTACTCCCACCATAGAGTGGGCCCGGGAAGGGCGCCCCCTGCTGGCAAACGAGCGCGCTACTGTACTGTCCAATGGCTCCCTGCGCCTGGCGGGAGCACAGCAGGAGGACACTGCTGAGTATGAGTGCGTGGCCAGGAACTTGATGGGCTCTGTGCTGGTCAGGGTTCCGCTTACTGTACGGGGTGAGTTGGTCGCTGGCCTTTTCCCCCCACTGTCCTAAAGCCCTCCACCTCCTTGCACTTTTCTCTCATATTAAAACACTGCTGGTTGATTTTTCAGTGCATGGGGGCTTCTCAGAGTGGATGAATTGGGGTCCCTGCAGTGTCAGCTGTGGGCTGGGCACCCAGAGGAGGCTGCGTCAATGCAATAACCCCATGCCTGCAAATGGGGGGCGCCACTGTGCCGGACCTGAGACGGACACCCGCCCCTGCCAGGGAAACCCCTGTCCAGGTGAGTCCGTTTACAAATAGCGGAACGTGCACTTTTGGGCTACAGACGGCCGCGTGGTAGCTTGTGTTCATACTATGTTGGGCTGCAGATGCGGACGACATACATATAGCAGTGATGTTCCACCAGACCAGCAGAGGGCAGATGTTTTGCAATAAACGCAAATACAAGCAGTGTAGTGAAACTGGTAAACTTTTATGAACACTTTAGAAGCTATTAGTCAAGGCTTGGGCGGTATTATGGTAATAAGGCCATACCATAGTATTTTGAAATCCTTACCACGGCCTCAGCATGACCCTGTACCCTCAGCAAATTGTATCGGCAAGATTTCAAAATGCCAGAATAGTGCTGCTTTTTAAAATATCGTATATCTCGGCATCATGTCTGTACAGTGTGAAAACCTCTGACTCCGGCACCTCCGACTCTCCTCATGCAGCAGCTCACCATAACTACTACAACAATAACAGCTACAGTATATAACTGCTGATCTATGAAAGTCCACGCTGCCACCTACTGGAAATACCTAATCAGTTATCTTGCACATGTGTGGTCGATGCACATGGATGTGTGAGGTTTTCACTAGACATAAGAATCTGGGCTACATGCACACTGACCGCAGCCAACCCCGATGACGAAATTTACGTCACGTCCCCTCATCCGAAAGCAAAAGCGCACATGGAAATGTGAAGGACGAATTGGCCTTCAGTAACTTACAACAGTGCACACCCAGCTTAGAGATGAAAAACTTGTATTATAGCGAATAGTGTTTTTTAAATTATTATATTTTTCCAGGGATACTATGACCCTTTTTCAAGAGTAGGGACTTTTGAAGTGAACTTTTGGTTTATTTTGTCATGCTGTCAAAGAGATTATTGTAAAAAAAATATAAGAGAGGTTAATAATGTTATCACTGGTGTTGTTGGTGTGTGAAGTGGACGGGAGCTGGTCAGAATGGACGGCTTGGGAGGAGTGCTCTCGCACCTGTGGCCAGGGGAACAGGACAAGGGTGCGCACGTGCAGCAGCCCCCCGCATCAGCATGGGGGGCGCCCCTGCGATGGGAGGGCAGTAGAGGCCATCGTGTGCAGCATCAGACCCTGCCCTGGTATGTGGCCTGCAGTATTGCCAGTGGCACTTGAAGGACTACGTCGATCCTCATTCGTTTGCTTTGGCCTGGCGCCGTGGTAACACGGCTGCTGGGGGACCGTGGCGCGCAGCTGATTAAGTCTCCTGTGTTCCAGTGGCTGGTAATTGGGGCGTCTGGTTGCCCTGGAGCCCATGCAGTGAAACGTGTGGTGAGGGAGTGCAGACGCGGATGAGGTTGTGCAACAGCCCGCCCCCCTCGTTCGACGGGCCGAAGTGCGAGGGGCCGGACTTGCAGACGCAGGTGTGCAAGGAGAGGCCCTGCCCAGGTAAGCGAGGCCCCCAGCATTGACCCCGCCCCCTCCATACTCCACCGAAGGGTATGGCGGCAGTAACTCTGGCCTTTTGGGTGCCCCGTGCAGTCGATGGGAAGTGGTCAGCCTGGGTCAGCTGGGGACTGTGCAGCGTGTCCTATGGAGGCGGGACCCGGCAGAGGACGCGCTCCTGTGACAGCCCCACCCCCCAGCACGGAGGACGCCAGTGTGAGGGGAGCGACGTCCACATTGACTTCTGCAACAGTGAACCATGTCCTAGTAAGTGCCCCCCCCTCCCCATGGCCTTCAGAACCATGTCTGTACTTGAGAATGTCACCATTCTGTTGGTATTCCTGAAGTCACCCCCACTCATGTGCCTCTCCAGTTCATGGTAACTGGGGCCCGTGGAGCAGCTGGGGCAGCTGCAGCCGGACATGCAATGGCGGCCAAATGCGTAGATATCGCACCTGCGACAACCCTAGACCCGTGAGCGGGGGCAGAGCCTGCGCCGGGGCAGATACACAGATACAGAGGTGTAATGCTGCAAACTGCCCAGGTGAGGTCGCTGTGGTCCTGCCCTCCCCAACACTGCATGCAAATATATTTTATTTAACATAGACCAGAATAATACTTAAGTCCATCCATTAGGTAGTGATATATTCTTTAACACATCTGAAGTTTGATGTGTATAAAAATGAAATATTTTTGAGAAAAGGGAAGAGAACTTTATTCCAGTTGAAATAAAAATGACTACATAAATCCTGTTGAATTTAGCTTAGCAATAAAATCAAACTAAAAGCCATTTAAGTGATGCTTCCCAGATTCAGCAGGAGGAAGCAAACCTTAATGGTAGCATGGGTGATACTGTAACCTTTAGAGTGTTTTATTCTCATGAATGCTTCAGTATAATTTACACTTAATACCTTTGAAAGGCGCTTTAGACATTATTAGATTTTGAATGCAATTTCAGGCACGAACTTGAGGTGAATTTGTTTATGAGCCTTAGAAGCACTTAAGAAGCAGTGCTGGCTTGTTTTTGTGGTCATTAGTGGACGGGAACTGGGGCCCATGGCAGCCATGGGGGGAGTGCTCATCGTCATGTGGCGGAGGGGAGCAAACCCGGCTTCGACTTTGCAACAGCCCCCCTCCCACAAAGGGGGGGAGGTCCTGCCCAGGCGACTCCTCTCAGCTGTCGAGGTGTAACTCCCAGGCCTGCCCAGGTACTCCCTTCTCAGTCTTCTCACCAGACAACCCTGCCTTTGTAACATCACATATCCAGTATATTACGATGTATTGTTGGTTAAGCAGAAATCTGAATTTGTGTAAATATGAATAACTATCTCATTCCTAATGTGAGTTCAGGTGGACCCCAGCGTGCCAGGGGAAGCATCATTGGACACATAAACGATATGGAATTTGGAATCTCCATCATCAATGCGACTATTTCCGATAGCACAGAACATGGAGGCAGAGTTGTACAGGCTACCATTTCTAATGTGCCAAGGAGTCTTGGTGAGTCATGGAGATGCTGTGACTCATTAATCTGAAGCATTAACTAGGTTGTCCTTGGTGGACCTTGCCTGCTTTACCAAAATAAACTGCCCCAGCACATTCTTCCTACTTTGTTGTGTAAGGATCTTAATATAACGGTTAATCATTGTTCTAGGTGATTTTGGGCTTCTGAGGTAGAACATGGCTTTAATGTTACATTTCCTCCCCAACACATGAAAGTATGTATTTTTTCGGTTGTGGTACGACAACTCCTTGATTTCTCTGCTCCTAGGGCCTGCAATGAGGAAGCTCATCTCCATCCTAAATCCCATCTACTGGACTACTGCAATGGAGGTAGATGAAGCTGTCAATGGATTCACCCTCACAGGTGGGATCTTCAGAAGGGAGACTCAGGTGGAGTTTGCCACAGGTAAGGGAACCTACATCCTAGACTACATTTTCCCGTTTTTTATCGGTTGACTTTCAAGTGCTGACTTTTATCATTTATTTTTTACCAGGTGAAATCCTAAGAATGACTCACGTCGCCAGAGGACTTGACAATGATGGGGCCTTATTATTAGACATTGTACTTAATGGTCACATTTTACAACTGCCACCAAATGCTGAAATTGATGTCAAGGTAACAACTATGTTGAATTTCCCAACTTTGGGTCCTTACCCTTAACAAAAATGAATTCAAATTGAGTTTCATGGTGATCATCATCTGAAAATGGATGTGTCATAAAATGAAATATGAATAGTCAAGCAAATAAAACAAAACACTTAACTTGTTTCTCAAGGACTACACAGAAGATTACATCCAAACGGGCCCAGGACAGTTGTACGCACTGTCCACACGCATGTTCACCATTGACAGAGTGAGCGTGCCATACTCCTGGAACCACACTATTACCTATGAGTCATCCAGAGGGAAAATGCCATTCCTAGTGGAGACCCTGCGCGCTTCTTCCATAAAAGCGGATTACCGACCCCGGGAGGAGATTCTGGAATACAAAATCCATGCCACCATTGCGAAAGGTCTGCTGTTCTCTCCATGCTACAAATTGTCCCATCCCTGAGTGAAGCCTTTTTGACCTCTTGATCTTGACTGGGAATTTTCAGGTGACCGAAGTAATCAGTGCCCAGCAGGGTTCCATCTTGACCCTTCTGGACCATATTGTGCAGGTAATTGTCCATTCACCCATCCTTAAACGTTTTTTCCCTTGAAGACTTGTCCAGGACAGGGTCACGGTGAGCTCAGGAAGCATTGGACAACATGGCAAGGGGCATCCTGGATGGGATTCCAGTTGGGAAAAAGCTCTACATATAAAATAGTTTCTCTGAAGTTAGGAAGTTTTGGGTTAAAGATGAACATGCAAATGTGTCAACATAATTTTTTTTTATCTTGTAATAAAGATGATGATGAGTGCACTGTTGGGAACTCTTGCTCTCATGGCTGCCTCAACGCTGTGGGAACCTATTACTGCTCCTGCCCCAGAGGCCTTACCATATCTGCCGATGGGAGAACCTGTCAAGGTATGGACTCCAGCTGATCTGCCAGATGCCACGTCACTGGCGCGTATTTAGGACAGGGATACATTGTGAAGTGCATTTGCCGCTTGTATTTCAATACAGTGCCACTGGATGTGAATATCTGCCTGTGTGCTAATATAGAACTGTCTGCTGTAGTAGTTTCATGGTCACTGTTCTTTCATCTATAGACATCGATGAGTGTACTCTAGGAGGACATCTCTGTCATGACGGCCAAGACTGTGAGAACACCATTGGCTCGTATCGTTGCATGATGCGTTGTGGGAGGGGCTTCCGCAGGACTGTTGATGGACTAAGCTGTCAAGGTCGGTACCTGCCTTGTTGCTGACTCAGTGGTCTCAGTTTTCCTCGCTTTCTATCGATCCATCCTTAATCAGTCCATTTCTTTTGTTCTCAGATATAAATGAATGCCAGGAGTCCAGCCCCTGTCATCAGCACTGCCTGAACACTGTTGGTAGCTTCCGTTGCGCCTGCGAGCCTGGCTTCCAACTGAGGAACCGCCGGTGCATTGGTGTGTATGCAGTTTCAAGTGCCTCAGATACATATAGCAAAACTGCACCCATGATATACCGTTGGATTTGGTGGGTTGTGCAAAGCTGATCCCAGATCTGCTTCTTCTTTAGACATTAACGAATGCAGGCAACGGGTTTGCCGCTTGGACCAGCAATGCAAGAACACCAGGGGTGGCTACACCTGCATCGATCTTTGCCCCACCGGCATGACGAAGGGGGTCAACGGGACATGCATTGGTGAGGGACCGTCATTATGGAGAGCGAGTAGGGATCATCATGATACCTGGCCTTCATTCATGTGGAGTACCAAGGACTGCCATGATGAACGATGCATCTGCTGACAAAGCATAAGGTTTTGTGTTCTTAAACTTGTCTTTCCCCCACTTTTTTCAAGATATCGATGAATGCAGAGGTGGAACGCACCAGTGCCGATACAACCAAATTTGTGAGAACACCCGTGGGAGCTACCACTGCACCTGCCCCAGAGGGTACCGCTCCCAGGGTGTGGGCCGCCCCTGCCTCGGTACGTCATGCACTGTGCCTGCAACACCTTGCCACCAACTAGCTGTCGCATCTCTCCGCTTGCTACATAAACGCTGCCTTGGCTAAATCTTAACACGGGTGGAGCAACAGCAGGAGGGACGCTGACATCTGGGTTCTCTGACATAGTATTACTAGTGCAGACTGAAAATGAACAAGTCCCCTGATATATTTCTATTGCTTAAAGCGAACTTAGTTGGACAGGATTTGGCTGGGGACTCCTGTAAATACCTTGAGGAATTACTGATGATTTGACTCAAACGTTTATTTAAATTGTGACGTTTCACGGTTAGCTGCCAAAGCATGCCAGTTTCAACAGATTAGCTTGTTGTTCCTCTATGTTATTAGAAAAGTAGCATGAAGTGCACAGATCTTCTGAAGCTGTGAAAGTAGGCAGGGAACATACAAGAGGTAGTGGAGTAAAACCGAGTACCTGCAGCAACACTGTTCTCGTCAAAGGATTTGATGTAACTATTTTAGTAACGGTGCCGTCTTTGTTCAAAATGTAAAGCTAATGCAACTTCAAGCCTGGTAGGATCTCATAGTAGAGCTGTTCTGCCAATCAAACTTTTCGCCGTTCAATGTAATTTTCAGCTGTTCATATACAGCTCTGGAAACTTTTAGGAGACCACTATATATTTTTTAAATCTGCATTTTTAAATCCTGGTTTAATCCTGGTTCTGCTGGCAGAGGCTACACTGAGCAGCAGGCTGCTTCCAGGCTCAAAATTTCTAAGACAGCAGCACATAAGAATAAGGTGAAGCAGGAGACACTGTGAACGACCAAAAACCGGCCAGGTCAAGGGTGGAAGCAATTTTCTAATGCCAGAGATGACCGTCAACTTATCTGACAGTGCTTCAGTGACCTTCAAAAAGAATGGGAAATATTAAGTGCACTGCAATTCATAATAGGCTCCTAGAAGCAGGACTGAAAACCCATAAAGCATGAAGCACTTCATCAATAAGAAGCAGGGAAGAGCCAGACTGGAGTTTGCAAAAAAAATTAAAAATGTATATTTTACATAGGTAAACCCATAAACGGAGAAAAGAATAAAACTGAATATTTTGCTGTAGTCTCTTCATTTTTTCCAGAGCTATATGTATATAAAAAAAATGTCAAAAGAAGCCATTAAATATTACAGCAAACAATGTTAACGTTAAAATAACAAAAAAGACAGTTTGCTTGGTAAATCTAAACAAAAGCAAGTAGCAGCAGTGTTCGGCAGACCCTAAACAAAGGTTAGCTGGTGACTGTGGTGACCTTAGTGGGAAAGCTGTCATTTATTTTGTGTGGAAGGATAGACTGTAGGTGTATCTCCAAAGGCCACCGTGAGTCTTTGTTACACAACACAGCAGTTATACAAATAGCAAGCCTAAGACAAGGAGTCTCCGCTGCCTCCACTGCCTGCGCTGCCTCCACTGCCTCCGCTGCCTCAGATCACACTGAGGTTTCTGTCAGCTAGAAACACAGCAGTGAAAAAGGAATTAAGAAAATGTTTATTGCAACGAGACCGGCACCTTCCGCCTTGCTTGGTATTTCCCACTGACCTTTGAATTTAACTCTCTGACTTCCCTCAGCTTTGTTATGGCTTGTCTATGCACTTTGTCTCTCTAATACAAGGGTGTCAGACTCCAGTCCTGGGGGGCCAGAGCCCTGCACATTTTTGGGTTTCCCCTCGTTTAATACACCTGATTCAACTTCTTCTGCTAATTATCACATACTGTAGCTGTTGAGCTGAATCATTTGTGGTGGGACAGGGAAAGAACTAAGCTACACAGGGCTGCGGCCCCCTAGGACTGGAGTTTGACGCCTCTGCTTTAATATATTCATGTGTAATACTTTCATTCTGTAACCAAGGAAAGATGCTACTGTAAAATGATTCTATAAATGCTGAGGTTAACAACAGTACAGCCAACCACACTATGAACACGCAACCTATTATTCCGAGTTAAACCTCCGTCTTGTCTCTGCCTAGAGGTAATAGGACACCACCGAATCCACGACATCAGATATGATTTTACAAGATGTCATCATTTGAAGTAGAGACCATCAAATAAAATGATGAACCGGAGACCTTTTGGCATGACGGGTGTCTGCCAGGATTGGCTGGGGGGGGGGGCTCTCCTCCAGGGCCACTGACTGACCCCTGTTGTCCTGTTTTCTCTCCTCCTCCTCTTCCTCCCTCTGCTCACCCTCCTCCCCCTTCCTCTCCTCCGCATTCCATTGTGCTGGGACTCGTTATGCGGGCAGACATTAATGAGTGTGAAAGGGTGCCCCCGCCCTGCGCCCACCAGTGTCTCAACAGCCCCGGCAGCTACAAGTGCCTCTGCCCGCCAGGGCGCCACTTGCTGGGCGACGGCAAGTCTTGCGCGGGCCTGGAGAAGCTGCCCACGTACGAGAGCTTGTCCTATGGCTATAGAGTATCCCAGTCCTCCCAGCAGTACCACAGCCTGGCCTCACAAACATACCACTCCTACTCAAGCAGTAACCACATTAGAGGGTCCTCTCCGCGCTCTCGCAGGGACACTAGAAGGGCTTGCCCTGAAGGCTTTAACGCAACGCAACACCAATGCCTAGGTAACTATCTGCCACCATGTGGTTGATGTGGCATCTGTCAGGCTGACCACATATCTCTCACTGCAAAATGCTAATTCAAATGCTACGTCTCCACTGTAGAAAATCTATGTATGGAAATTAGACACCTGTTGTGATATTCTGATATGTGGTCAAAATGAAAAAGAGTGGTTTAATTAGAGTACAGTGCACTGTACGTGTCTGACGTAGACAATAAAGTTACACGGTTCCCTGCCCCCCCCCCCCCCCCCCCCAATTTCAATATCCCCAAAGTTACACAACAATTAGCTATGCTAATTATAATTATTGCCATGTTGTTCAGTATTTAAAATTCTTTGCATTAAATAATCATCAGGCATAGTGATGAAATCCTTGCTTTCATTCCGTACTATATTGGCTACCAGTGCTGTGCATTTCCAGGCATACTGTTTTCTTTTTGACTTTGATCGCCGTTTCCTTTGACAGTTAGCATTTCCTTTGTTCCCTTGCAGACATAAACGAGTGCGAAAGTCAGGACAGATGCCAGCACGAGTGCGTGAACATGGCAGGGAGTTACAGGTGCCTGTGTCCTACTGGCTATCGCCTCATGACCAATGGAAAGACCTGCCAAGGTGAGCTGGGTTAGTGTTGGGGTTAGTCAGCTATTTGGCTGTGAAACAACGGACCAGAGCAAAACACAGACGGGACGCCAGTCTCTGTCAGGGCCTCTCGTGAATTTACATCCGAAAAAAGATATTATAACAAAATAACAATAAAAGGCAATGTGAACCTTGCTGGTTATATACATACTGTATATTATAGATAATGATGTATTATAAATTATTTAACTGCCCTTACTAAAGTTCATCCAAGCAGTGACCTTCAAAGCTTTTCTCATAATCATATTCTTACAACTGTCTAGGAAAATATGTCTTATGCAGCTGTAAAACTGCAATGGCTCAAGCTATGCTGAGTGTTCTGAAGGCCTACAGGAACAGCTAAGAGCTTTTTCCTCTTCGTGTACCTTTCTTTAGACATCGACGAGTGCCATGAGCAAAGTATTCAGTGCGGCTCTAACATGATGTGCTTTAATATGAGAGGAGGCTATCAGTGCATTGACACACCCTGTCCACCCAACTACCAGAGGGATGCTGCCACTGGGTAGGGCTTGTTGTGTCCGTCCACACAGGAACAGCCAAATGCTCCTGGTATACTGTAGACATCATTGATGTGCTTGAGGAAGTGTTTGATTATCACAAGTGTTTATGGGGCTATTTCAGGTTCTGCCTGAAGAACTGCCCTCTCAATGACCTGGAGTGCGCTCTCAGTCCCTACGCACTGGACTACAAGCTGCTCTCGCTGCCTTTCGGAATCGCCGCCAACCAGGACCTGATACGTCTGGTGGCCTACACTCAGGATGGCGTGGTCCACCCCCGCACCTCCTTCCTGGTGGTGGATGAGGACGCCACATTACCCTTCGCCATCCGGGATGAGAACTTGAAGGGGGTGCTGTACACCACACGGCCACTGCGTGAACCCCACACCTACAGGATGAAGGTGCGGGCACTGTCATATGGCACAGATAGGGGCATAGAGTACCAGACTACTTTCATTGTGTACATCGCTGTCTCCGCCTATCCGTACTAGAGCACTTTAGGGCAAAGATGTACCTGTGTATATGCTGTGGTGTGCCAGTCACACTGCTTAAAAAGACTTTGGCAAGACGCCTTGCAGCAAGGTGGACTGCAAGCCCAAGAGCATCGTAAGAGACTGAACGCTGCCCCCTGGTGTTATGTGGAGTTCAAACATCATCCAAGAAAAATTTCCCCTTGTTCAATCCCACCTAGTTTTATTAAAAAAAAAAAAAAAGTGATTGAAATGACCACTAAAGGGATGGATGTGGTGATGTTCAGATGAGTTACAAACTTTTGGACCCTTCTTATATGAAATTGTACTCAACACATTCTAATATTGAGTAAGAATCTAGCACTGACATTAATGCCAAATGCTGAAGAATCTGTTCACACTTTGTCAAACTTTGAGTAAATTCAAAACTTTATGGATTACAAAACACATACAAACACCAGGCTCACTGCTAGTTAATAAAGGAGCACACCCCCTCAAAAACTGGAACAGCGTCGCTCTCTTCAAGGCCACCAGTAGAAATTTAGAAGTTTAATCACTAGAGGCCACTAAAGACAAAGTATTCACCATGATCAAGTGGTCAGTGGTCCATCCCATGGCATATGGGAGCCATATTACAGATGTTCCTTAACAAGAAGAGACTCTTGCTCCTATAGCAGTAGGTCATTAAACTCATTACATGGTCCCCTTTACCCAAGATACCAAGATGTATTCAATTTTTATGATTTGTATATACAATTGGCAATCTTTTTCTGCAACTTGTTCCTACACAGTACTGTAATTTTTTTAAATAAAAGTAAAAATATTCTTCACTTGTGAAAAACAGATGACATAAAAATGTATATATGTCTCTATAAATATGCAAAAATGTAGGGGTGTGTGTGTCCATATGTAGGTATTCTGAACACAAAGTGTTATAAGTTAGGACTTAGAGCACATTATACAATAACTTTAACACTCATTGACATATTTCTGCAAGAATGAAAGACTTTGTTAAATGATCGGCGAATCAAAGACAATTCTGCAATGTATGTGTGTTTATTTTATCACAAAAGCACAAACATAAAGCAGGCGATAAGGCATTTTGTACACCAGTTCTGTAGTAAACTTGTACCTAATTGATCAGGAAAATACTACAATTGACTACAATAAAACAATTATTTGATCAAAGGCTTAAAAAAGGCTGAACCCCTATATATCAACTGGTGAAACACCAATGAAACTTTGGGTTTCTTTCAACACGTAATACGGATCTCGAAGCGACAGCCGAATACCAAAGGGTAGAGTTTCATATAGGGTGATGACTGACTCTTAGTAGAAAAAACAAGATAGACTGCTGACGTGATTTTAAAATGTATAAATTTCCACCTTGTAAAGCGACCATCCTTCTGCTCATTTCCTCGGTTGATGCAGAATGACCTCACTTAATGTACCAGTTTTTTTTCTGAAATTCTCCCTTTAAATAAAAAAATACATTTCTGAAGATTTTTGGTCCAAAAGGTCAATTTAAAGAAATGCAACATAAAAAAGCATTTAATGCTTGATATAAATAGGCCTAGTCTATGACACAGAGCTGCCCCTTGGCAATCTGGCACCTGCTGCTTCATGAGGACGGGGGCTGACAAAAACAATCATTTTACACAGACGTAACCTGAGAAATGTGCAGTTTTTGAGTGAAACGCACATTGGCCAGCACTGAGTACAGGTGGACAGGGAATATGCTCTATTTAACAAGGATGCAAGATTTGCTTTGCACTGGCAGAAAATGAGTCGTCAGACTGTGTCTCTGCAGGAGACCATGTGCATCAGAAACATATCTTGTAATATTTCTTTGGAGTACTAACATACTGCGTAAGTAATTTTGCACAAATGTCTTTCTACACGTAACTCACATCTTGATAATAAATGTATGTGGTTACTTCTTCCTGTGTTTTATTACTATTATTATTATTACTACTACTATTACTGCTACTACTATTATTATTAGCCGTTACTCTGAATGCGTAAGAATCGTTGTTATAGTGACTGGCAGCATGTCTCCCATATAAAGATAATTACTAGAGCTTTTAGCATTAAACAGAGAGACTGGGAAAATAAATGATTCAGCTCCAGGCACCAACAATCCCAAAGGCAAGACAGGTTTACAATTTACAGTTAAAGCACCACGCGTGTGAGTGGATGATGGGAAAATGAGGATCTGATGGCGTTAGCCTCCCCGAAAGACACGACGGCATTAGGAGTGAGAGGGAGTCCTGAGAAGGAGTCCCAGTAACACACATTTAGCATGAATAAACAAAAACTATTTGGCTTATAAAATAAAAGAGAAAGAAGCTTGGTCTCAAGCACTCCTCTGCAGTTCCAAAAGCAGTAGGCATGTTTTAAAGGGCAAAAAAGATCAGCCCAATGCATTTGCTTTTAACTTATGTTACGTCACTGTGGATCACAGGGAGTCGAATGTGACCGCTGTCAGTTGAGAGGGGTAACAGTTCCTACAAATGAAATGTAAAGGTGGATGTGACTACAGCGCTGATTTAAAAAATGCTAAAGGAGGATGAGCTCTATTCTTTATTAAAAGGAATGTCTCTGGATGGAGATACTCCTAAGCACACCTACGAAAAGTCAAATTTTGCCCACGAGGCCTCAGAGAGGGCAGAATGTCTACACTCATCATCCCCATTCAACGTGCCGTCTGCAACCAGCCTGAAGCAGCTTAACAGTACAAGAGGGAGATGACAAATGACAAGCGAAGGTAACAAGGAAAAAAAAAACAGATGGAGATGATGTCCCACATGGTAACCTGTGAACAGATCTTATTGGATCCAATGTACCAGCCAATCACAGTGCGTGGGTGGGCCGCTGTTAGACAGTCTTCCTCGCTGTCAGCACTCGAACGATAGAGCCCACTCCTCCAGCGGACAGAGCCTGAAAACAAACATTGTACCAAAACAGTACAGTCAAGTCAGGCAAGAGCTTTCTTGCTTCTTTGGGTCATCAAATCCATGTCCTAGAAGAGGCTCATTGTGTCTTACTGATCTTCACCAGCTCAATTTCTTGAGTGTTATAATAAAATGATTTCAATCAGCACTATTGGATGCATTATTCTTGTGTTCTGCACCAAGTTCCAATAGATTCTCCAGTATAGCTTTTCTGATGCTAAGTTCTAAGCATCGTTTGCATAGCTCTTGTTCCCACAACAATCTTGCATTTGTTACTGGTCATTCATTAGAAGCTCAGGCTAGCAGTAGGTGTTCCTAAGCTGGCTTCCGGACAGCTGTATGCTGTTGATCAAAGTGGTTCAAAGTATCAGCTAAATAAGTATAAATGAATTTACATGACAGACGGTCACAATAATCTGAGTAATCTTTCAGGACCACGTGTACCTTTTCGTGCCACTGCAAGAGGACAGCACTGCTGTTTTCTGAGGGCTTCTCGAAGCCCTTGTAGATGTATTTCATGAGGAGGTCCACGTCGTTCTTATCCAACGACTGCACGGCCTTCTCGATGTCCCCACTCTTGAAGGAGCTAAGCACCTTTAGCACCAGCCCCTCTGCTCGGTCCTGCCCAACCAGAGACAAGGTTAAGCCGCTGCTGCTCGGTCCTGCCCAACCAGAGACAAGGTTAAGCCGCTGCTGCTCGAACCTCCCCAACCAGAGACAAGGTTTATCCGGCGTAGCTA